TTCGCGATAATCGTCTATCGCGCTAGCAACCTCATCCATAGTTTCATCAATCTGTAACAAGGAAATCGATTCCTAAAAACCTTTAGAAAAAGGTGAAGAGAATCGAGATGAAAAGTTCGTACTGTGAGAGCACGTTCACACTGCGCGCTTCGATTCTTGGGTCGCGCGACCACGATCGGGACGCTTAACTGCCAATCTGTCGTTCGCCGCAAGAACAGAATTCATTTGGACCGATCGTCTTTGAAAGCGGCCCAATTTGAGTTTTGCTGATGCTGCTGTCCGCCAATTGGCGCTGCAGCACCCCGTCATGGTGGCGCGAATAATTGCTCGAGGATCCGATCGCACGTTCCAAGCGATCTAATCGCGAGGTAAGAACGCGCTCCAAGAGCTAACGCAAAATTAGAAACGCAACCCGATAGCACACCGAAGAAAGCGCAAGTCTTGGTCTACTTACTTTTTCGGCTGTCATTCCATGTCGAGCCAGATTGGCTTTGAAAGCTGCTGTTCCTGCTTTATACGCGTCTATGATCTCTTTGTTGTGCTGCAAATTCAGAAATTGACGGGAATATTAGTATAATTATGAGCCACAATCGCGAAATTACCTTCGTAGCACTTAGCTGTTGCAACATGGTCAACAACCGCTGGTACTGAACATCTTTATCGGAAATATCTTTTTGGAATCGTTTCTTTTGACGGAGAAGATTCGCTGCTCTCATCTTATCCCTATTTCGCAAAGCAGCCCGACAGTCGCCATCCAGTCTAAAGCAGGACAGAAAAGACACTGTTCGGCTTAAAGGGGTATTTTTGCGCTGTCGCTAGTATCTGCCACTTTGGTCGGACCTGCACACTTCTGTGAAGCTGCGAAACTATTCGAGTGAGCCACTTCAGTCACAGGAAATTTACAGGTCTTCACAAGGTTGCCTGTACAATCCCAGCTGAGCGCCATTCGTCCCCTCCCCCTCTCCACCAAGCCGGAACTCGCAAAAAAAATTCGGTAGCGAAAAACAATAATCAGACTTCTTAATACTTACTTTTCAACTTTTCGCTCCAAAACACCTATTTCATTTTCGATTTTTGACATGGCTTTCCGAATGTCATGTACGCTCGCATCGGCTTCAGTGAATCGAACTGGCTCCTCGCTCGTTGTGTCCTGCACAAATGAAGTACTGTAAGCGACAATGAGAGAGAGAGAGAGAAGACGAAGAGAGACATACAAGTTGGAACGTTCTAATAACAATTACTGAGGATTCTACTCCAATTACAGAAAACGGTGTCATTCGAGCATGCAAAATAGAATGATCTGGAAGTTATCCGAAATGTGTTAGTATGTATGACGCTCATTTGTAGCTGGTCAAAGTCTAGACGGGTTCAAGTCTATTAGCCTATAAGGCTTGCTCATCCTGTTTGAATGAGAAGATTCAGCGATTCGGTGCGGAAAATATAGATATCGATCTGGCGATAGGGAAGAAGCGGAGATGCAATCCGGCGTTCTGAGCGGATCGACGTTTTCGCGCGAAATTGAGCGTACAAGGGTGTATAAATAGTGATCTCTGGCGCCTGATCGCTCACATCCTAAAACGACGAATCACAAGTTGCTTAAAACGCCGGATCGCCAATTCATCCCAGTGGCTAGATCGATATCTATACATTCCTGTCCGCGTATTCTCTGAAATCGTGGAGCCGCCAGTCTCGCTAAGCGTTCTAAGTCCGCAAAAAAATAAGGAACGCGTGCCAACCTTTGAACACCTTGCAATAACTTTCGGAGCGCGAACTGTAGCCAAAAACAATACTTGCAAATATAAAATAAGAACTGAACGAGTTGCTGTTTGCATTGAGTATTCTTCCGAATTTTCTTTCTGCAAATTTGACAGTTGTTCAAAACAGCCACAGCCGATGAACAAGTCTAGCGAAGATAGCCTATAGATCATTCAGAACAAAAGTCATGAATAACTTCAAAATCCTTACCCTAAACTTCAAAATCTGCTCGCCGTTACGTCCCTGTCCAACAGTAACGTCACCTCGATCAGAGAGATGAGCCAGAACAATGTCGAAATTCTCCTTAACAAAGCTACATCAGCATCAGGCATATCTCCAACTCGTCACAGTTTACAGCATCACTGGGAGAATCCCATCAGGGAACCGCATCTGGTGGGGAGTTGATGGTATCCGGTCTCGACAGAGATTCTTCGTTCTTGTATTTCTTCTAGACTTTCCAAGATTGAGCTACGTTTCGGCGTCTTCGCCTTCGTCAGAGCCTGAAATGGTCAAAAAACATTTCGAGACCTGCTCGCTCAAACATTTCAACAATACTCAAGACGATTTCCACATACCAGTAAATCACCCAACGGTATCGATCTAGGGCGGAACGCTGGCTTACCTTGATCTTGGACGCGTGACGCGGGACGACCACCCTGTAGAGGCTCAAGCGTGGAGTAAGATGTGAAATCGTCTTGAGTATTGTTGAAATGTTTGAGCGAGCAGGTCTCGAAATGTTTTTTGACCATTTCAGGCTCTGACGAAGGCGAAGACGCCGAAACGTAGGCCTTCAATAAAGTTGCTCAATCTTGGAAAGGCTAGAAGAAATACAAGAACTATATACATCATGCCAAGATTGCAAGAAAGTCGAACATGGACTATTCAGAAATTCTTCGGTTATTGCCGACGTACTAGTTAAACAAATTTGAGGAAAGCGTCATCAGGCACCACTATTTCTCTTACCGCGACACAGCACCTCGAATAGTTGTAGAAAAGTACCTTTGTACGGACAATATTAGCAGCTCTGTCATAGAAGGTGGAGTAAGCTACGATACTACCCGTTCCATCGATTTCAGACTGGAACTCGTTACTGTACAAATTCATAAGTTTGTCTGCTTGCACCTGAAAACAATATTGTGAAAAGATGACTTGTGCAGCGGCACTAGGCTAGATATCAAGAGTTTCACCTTGATCGTTGGCAGATGAATAAAGCGTTCGGATGTGGCAGACTTCGCAGTTCCAAAGAGCCATCCGGACGTCTTACTCAACTGTGAAAAACCCCAACCCATCCATGAGGTATGCTGCTCTTGCCATTTAGATAGAGGCATCAATACACCATATCTAAACATATATATTGAAGCATAGTGTGGTAGTTTGGAGTTTATAATCAACAACTCTTTTTCGCCCCAATTGTAAATCCGAAATTCTGCAAAACAAACATTTTTTTGCTATTTTCTAGTTTTGTTCGATAGGTTTTGTTGTTACCTCGGGTCGGAGGGTAAATAGCTTATACATATGTGCTTCCTTCTTATAGCATTATTTTTAACGCTCTTTCACTCATCTTTGATTATGTGTGTTGTCAGCGCGTCTTCTGGGCGCATAAATAAATAAGTAGCGGGGTCGTATTTGCCTCTGCGAAAAGTGTTTCTGGTGAATGCAGTTTCTTTTTTTGGGATAGAATTCTGAAGTGTAGGAAGTTGGAAGAATTTGGGACAGGTAAGGCGGTAAGTAATCGGTAAGTAATATGGGACGGGGTGACGAAATGGCAGTTGTACAAAAGGAGGAAATTTTGTGAGGAGGGTCGTGTTTCGTGGAATTTTTCCAAAAAAGCAGGGCGTACCATGCTTTTTTAGAAAAATAGTAGCCCAACTGGTTCGACCCGGCGCAGTTTTGTGAAACCTACAGAACCACTGAAGTGCAGACGTAGAACAGGAGAGTCGGTAATCTGGAGAACCCTTCAAAAGTTGAGAATTGAATTGATCTTGTTGACCCCGTTTGAGGAATGGAGAAGCCTATTCGTTTCTGAATCTCTTCGAGGATTCTCATTCCTTCCGCTCATCACAGAACGGCCTTGCGGGACGCTTATGAAAAGGGGAGAGCTGATACGAAACAACTTCTGGCTCGTCAAACGGTATCGCAAAAAGAACGAAAATATGCCTAACCAATTTATTTCTTTTGGCAATTTAAAACTTACTTGCTCAGATGTTCCACCACCACATTGAGACTCGACGGCACCTGATCGCCTCGTCGAAATCGTTTCTTCAAGGAATCTACACTTATAATGGCATTCCCTTCAACCTCGCAGGATGATGATATCAGGTCGGTCCAAAACTTTATCTTTCGATCGTGGTCGATCGGATTTATAGCTCGAGCCTGAAAATCGATGTTCTCTTTAGGAACGGAAATACTAAACTGAGACATGAGGACCAGACAGCGGTACTGAAAAATGTTTTCACTCCCTAGACATTCTTGTCCTCATTCTTATTGGCCAGAGAGCAAAAAGAAGCGATAATTGCCTCAGGGAGTGGAAGGGGCAAGTGAGGTCATTTTGAGTGACTTTTTCTGCGTAAATGGGATTACGGCAACAGTGACGAAGACTTCAGCCAAGCCCAAAGTGTAAAGAGCCCTTGGAAGGAGTGATGCCATCTTATTGGGGTAATCCCAGACCTGGGCAGTCCTTTCGATGACCCTCCCCCACCCAAGGTTATTAGTACTCAAAAACTGCGGTTTAAGCTCTCTCGAGGTCAGTATGAAAAAGGGAATCCTACTATCTCCACTTCCCTTAGAGTTCACCCTCTGCAAAACGATCGCGCGATCGAAGCGTTCGGATCGCGAACTGTGAACTCGTTCTCAATCCGCTCTCCTAGCTTGCAGCGAACCGGAGAACCGTGGAACCGGAAGTAGAAAGTTCCGCGAAAAAGATTACGTACGTATTGATTTATCGCGATTCTTTAGTTCACCAGCGCAGGGGTCTAATCAATGCGTACCTATTCACTTTAGAGGAATCCCGACTCCGGCGTCGCGAAGTATGAACGCATGGTTTTTGCTCGTTATTTTTTAAAGCGGGTGAAGGTCTTAATCAAATAATTTACCTTAATCACACTCATATATCCTTGCATAGCCAAATCATCATGCCAAAATGAAGGCAGATATCGCCTGGATCGCTCTTCCATTTCGAGTGATTCACTATTATTCCCAAGCTAGCCACTCAGGGAATAGCTTCTGTGAATAAACATGAAATGTCACCGAC